GTGCTTGTTGGCGAGTCGATCGCGAGCAAAGTCGTGCCCGTGGCGGGTTTCTTCGTTCCCGAACGAACGAGTTCGGTCGCGTCGCATCGACTCGAGGCGAGTCGAAATTTTTCCATTTCGTCGGAACGCACGGGGCGTTAGTATACTGTTTGCAGTTAAACAATATTACGTAGTAAAATTTATGGCCGTGCCCCCTTCGCGAAGCGGAGCCGGCCTCGCCCGCGCACCCTTACAATACGCTCGCTCGCAACCTACACGGCTGAAAGTATCAACGATACGAGAAATACGAGCGTTATGGCTGCTGCCACCCCTGCGTTACCGGCTCGCGATGATCCACGGCTTAACGGATATTACCCTAAACCTGGTCTCGCGTTTCGTTCCCTTCGATTTCCTTTTTTATACCCATTTTTATTTTTTCGAAAATTCGTCGCGTCGCGTTGTCGGAAACGCCGCTTCCCTTCGGGATCCGGTCGGTAGGCTTTCCAACCTTTCTCCGCGATCCTCGCGCGTTTCGGTGTCGTCGCAGAACGACCGTACTGCCCGTTAAAAGAACGCGCGTTTCCGCTTTTATCGCGACGCAATCCCGCGTCCCGTTTACGCGGCGTCATTCGTAAAAACCGAGCAACGTTTCTCCTTCGAAATCCGGCGAACGTCGTTCGCCGCTTATGCACCGCTAACGTTCTCGCGCGACGACTTTCCCACCTTTCTGATGGAGGAAACGATTCTCTTTTTCCTAAACTTTCAATCTCGTCGTCGCAGCTATCGTCGATCGTTTAACGGCGAATCGCCTTCGAGCAACGCGTCAACGTTCTTTAAGATCCTTCGTCTAACTTTGAGGGAACCGAAAGTTTGTCCACTGGAAAATGTCGTCGAAGAAAGGAGGACCGTATTCGCATGATTCGCGATCGTGAGGCAACAGATTTGCAGCGATTGGAGCGATTCGCGCTCAGTAAGGAGAGGCAACAGGGGGTCGAAACTCGCTAGTTCGAAAATTCGCGTTAATAGCCATTTAGGAGTGTCTGCCGGAGTCGGAGGGACAGACGCGAACCGTCTCTTTGTGCCCTTAATTCGATTAGGACGGCCATCTCTCCTTTCTAGCAGCGGACCGGTAACTCCGTTATCGGGAAGCACGACTCCCTAAATACGACCGTTAGGTAATATTCTTGGTTGTCTCGAGAAAACGGCGACACCCTGCGACACGGCGATGCGGCGCTCGACGTCGTTAAATAATCGTTTCCTCCCTCGCGATCCAATTACGACGGTTGGTCCCCGACGATCTCGACCACGGACATCGCTGTTCGTCTCGTTCAAAGGTTCGCGCGATTTCCCCCTCGATCTTGTCCATTTTCGCCACGAAACGGCCACGATGGTCATCGAACGAGCGAAACCCTTCCGACCCACGAGTTACCGTCGCGTCGTTACCTCGTTGAACTCACTTGTTTCGAACGAACGAAATCGAACCGTAAACTAACGGACGCGAACAATTTCTCGATCGGACCGAACAGGAGTCGCTCCACGATCGGACGAGTATCGGAACACGGGCGGTAGTTCGGTCGACGGAACGCGACGGTTTCGGACCTACCTTCTCGTCGAATCTTATCGTCGACAAACCGGGTCACGATCGGTTGACTCGATCGCGAAAATATTCCTCGTTTCGCGATCCACTCGTTTAAGTCTCGAAGACGCGCCACGAGAGGCAGCGTCGCCGCGAAACGTCATGATCTCCGGATAGTTTCTCGACTCGAGACTTTGGAATCGAAAGGAACGTGGTCGCCAGCGACGATCGACGGTGCGGTTCCGCGGCAATGATCCGGCATCGGTAGGGAACGCGATCGCGATAAAATTGTAAAAATTTCGGAACCGGTAAGAGAGGAAAAGAAGGTAGAGAGAAAACGAACGGAGGTAAGAAAGGAGAAGGCGCGAGAGAACCGCGGACGCGATCACCACCACCTCCAACGGCAGCACCACCACCACCACCACCGG